AATTTATTGCTAGAATATGATTCATTAAAAATTTTTACAATTAATTGTTGTCATTGATTAGCATTAAGACAAGTCATTATCTTTGTTGTTGATTAGTAGCAGTTGGTAATGATACTGATAAATCTGTATTGATTATTGAAAATCTGTAATATTTCAACATGGATAAATTGAATACTAATTGATAAATAGCAGTTAAATTAATTGACGCATCGAACATATCAATAGTTAATGATTGAAGACGTGATAAAGATAATAGTTTGATAAGGATTGACATAAGTATGTCGGATTTAACATCCCAAAGAACAAGTGATTCAAGATGATTGAATGATGAATCGATCATAAATGATAATGATAAAAATTCATTAGTACGTGATAATGAAGATAATTCAATAGAATGTATTTGAGGGTAAGTGGTGAGATATGATTTATTTTCAATTATTTGTAAAAACATTTTCTGATGTTGAATAAGAATAATTTATTTTAAATCGAAGAAATCATGAATTAATTAATTGTTGAAAATAATGATTAAGATTTGAAAATGCTTGATCGATACTACAACCATCCAAATAATCAAAGATTTCATAAAATAATTCATTCTAGAGATTGTTAAGTGTGATTATTGATGGTCTGTATAGAAATTTAATAGAGACATTAGACTTACTATTATATTACTTACGTTTTTTGATCACATCGAAATTTATTTATCCGTTTATTAGAATTTAATTTTCGTTTAGTTTGATTCATATTCATGTTTGTAAATTCAATACAATATAAAAGAAATATGTCACCCATTCACATGTATTTGAAAAAGTGAACATCTCGATCATTCTCTATTTATGAAAGAAACGTCGATTCTTTTCGTTCTTCGATTTATCACTAATCATTAGTTTCTTCATCTGGATCAGTTGTTTGTCTGGTTGAGACAAGCTACATGCACTTTGATGTACATACACTTTTTTCTGTTGCATTAAGATGATATTGAGCCTTTGATATAGAAAAGAGAGCGTTCGATACAAACATATGTACATTTAAAGAACAAAAAATAAATGCAAGAAGGAATTTTCGATTCTTTTAACGTCACTATGGTATGAATAGAGTCATTTAGAAAAAGAATTACATATTCAGAATGAAAAGTATCTATTTCATCTTATGTGAAATATTTTCATAAAAATATTTCATTAATTAAACAGCGTCAGATTAACTTATTTACAGTTGAACAAGAAATAAATATACTTTTGTACCATTTTTGTCCTTTCGTATTCTTTATTCTGATTCATAA